CCCCACACAGCCTGCTGTTCAGTCATTTGGTCGTCCCTCACTAACCCCCCTGCCAGCCTTGTCACCCCAAGCAGCCTGCTGTTTGGTCATTACTGTTACTGTGATGGCATCCCTGACAATTTGCATATTCCTCTATTATTAGTATAGATGTTGTTCTCATAACTGCTAATAGACAGTTAATAGACACTTCTGGGACAAACCATTTTCTCTCGACCCTAGGCTTCTACTTGGAGAGTTCACTGTGAAAGTTAGGAGACATGTTCCTTCCACCTACTGACTTCATTTTTGGATCTCCAACTCTTGTAGAATGTACCTTCTTGGTTGGCAATGACACCCTTAAAGCCAGATGCAACATCCTTAAGCTCATTGACTGGAGGTGGTGGAAAATAACATCTAGAAAGACTTGAGTTAAAATCCAGCTTACCCTTTACCTTTGTGGCCCTGAGCAAGTTACTTTCTGCTAGTAGTGGCAAGGATAAACCTGTGGGATTGGCATTTAGGTCAAATAACTCATGCAAAGCCTGGTATTGAACTGAAACCTAAGCCATTCTTTCCTTTTGATTTTCCGCCATGTTGGTATGCAGGTTTCATAGGACCAGGGAATAGTGAAGACATTAAGACATTTAGTCTGCAGTCCATCTGCCTGAGCTCCTATCTTCCTTCTACTCTCTGAATCCCCTTGCACAGGTCACATAAGGCCTCAGTTTCCTCATCTGTAAAATGAGGATTGTGAGGATGAAACATGAAGTGTATAGAATAGGCCATTGCCCTATCTGGTTTGGCTCAGTGGATAGAGCATCGGTCTGTGGACTGAAAGGTCCCGGGTTCGATTCCGGTCAAGGGCACATGCCTGGGTTACGGGCTCGATCCCCAGTAGGGGGCGTGCAGGAGGCAGCCAGTCAGTGATTCTCTCTCATCATTGATGTTTCCATCTCTCTCTTCCTCTTCCTTCCTCTCTGAAATCAATAAAAATATATATAAAAAAATAAAAATAGAATAGGCCATGATTCATAAGTTCTCAATGAATATTAGAGCTTCAAAAAGCTTTTCTTGCATGATCCACAAATGTGCAGATCTATTCACCTGGGCCAGCCAGGGAGATCTTTATTTCATAATGAGCTCACCACACACGTTGGTGAACTTTGTTCTAGTTAGGACTTTCTGTGTGCGAATGTCTCCAATCTAATTCTGTCCTGGTGGCAATAATCAGCTCAGCTGTCCAAAGCTTGCACTTAGCTGTGGATGGGCAGAGATATGAGCAGCCTAAGTGTCCTGTCATTAGGGATAAAGCTGTCAGTCCTGATGGGGAGGTTTAAGGTCTCCAGTGTGCACAAGGTGTCAAAACCCTAGTCCTTCACCCAGAGCAAGACCCTCCATTCTCTACTAGAAGCCCATTGCCTTAACCCAGCGGTTCTCACCCTGTGGGTCGCGACTCCTTTGGCGGTCAAACAAACCTTTCACAGGGGTCGCCTAAGACCATCCTGCATATCAGATATTTACATTACAATTCATAACAGTAGCAACATTACAGTTATGAAGTAGCAACGAAAATAATTTTATGGTTGGGTCACAACATGAGGAACTGTATTTAAAGGGCCAGAAGGTTGAGAACCACTACAGTATAAATGGAATAATGTGAACCAGTCATATAGGTTTGGCCATTTCCAACTGGATTACATAGAACAATGATAGGAATAAACAGGACCTGGCTTTCTGAGGCCTTCCATTCTAGTTCTTTTCCCTAGTCTGTCATATGTCTTGTAGAGATCACCAGTCTGTCCTGAGAATCAGTGTCTTTAAATATTGTTAAATATTTTTTAATTGCAAACTGTACTTATAGTACAGTTTGGTTGAAAGAATCAAGTAGAATGATATGCAGGAAAGCTTTTAAGAGCTCTGAAACACTATAGAGATGCAAGAAGCTATTATCACTAGAGTTATTTTAGAATAACTGAAACTACATCGAACTTGCATTTATTTCCCTACTCTCTTTGTACAGGTATAGGCTGTACTGTACAATTATCAGCTTCTTCTAGCATAACTCTCTAAAATTCCCTGCTGCATAAGGCAAGGATGAATTGTAATTTATTATACTTGGTTTTGTTCCTGAATTACTTTATACATATATATTCTTTCCTACCTGCAGGGGCCATATTTTCTTTGGCTTCTCCTTTTGTGTGGCTCCATCTGTACTTGGCAATGTTGTATTCAGAGGGTACTCTCTGTTAATTATTTTACAACTAGAAACTAAGAAGCTTATTGAATAGGTAAGAGGCCTAAGAAAAAAAGTCCCACACTTGTGTGGATATAGTAGGGTAAAGTAGAAACTGCTTCCAAAAGAAAATCTACTTCGAGTTTCTAGCTGTCCTCCAGTGCTGGATGGCTTCATAATGAAGTTTGAAAAAAATGGCAATTTCTAGTCAAGATAAATACTGATTTATGATTTTCTGTTGTCTTACTGTCCAGAAACAGAAAATTAGAATAAATGAAAAGCCCCCCCCCCCCCTCTCTCTCC